ATACATACACATGTGTACCTATGTCTGTACATGTACACATTCCTGCAAAACTGATAGCCATAGTTTTCTTTGGTTCCAGGTACCCATTCAGCAGCAATCAATGACACAATCTGCTGTCCTGGGAAAGCCTTAGCAGTCCCTTGCTACGGGGACTGTGCCACTGAGACTCACGGTACAGAGACCCACGCTCCAGAGATCCCTGAGCTAGCGGAAACTGCAACTTCCATAATGCTTTTTGACAGTTTATTTTTATGTAATGCACCAGAGTAAAAGAAAAGAAAACAACACACCAGAAACAAAAAACAAAAAGAAACCAGCTCAAATTCCAGCTTGCAGCTCCATAATCAGACCCAAATGTGCCTTTTTCAGGGTTGGAACCTCTTGCTCTTCCACACAGATATCTGCCACTAACCAGCTCCACAAGGCGTAATCTGGAGCATCTTTGTCATCATTGCTCCAGTTTTCTCAGGTCTCCCTACCCCTGTCTCTTCAACCAGGGAGCCTCATCCTCTCTTGTTCCAAGAAGTGTGCCTTTTTCCAGTCCCTCTCCTTTGCTAAATGCTTTCTGGTCTGAAAATCATCTGACGGACTTCAGACTTCCAGTTACAGATGACTTTCCTCAAATTCCCAAATCCATCATCTTTTTCCAACATAGGCCTCAACTGTGATCTCACTTGCCCTTTCCCCTCAATTCCTAGCTTGTCCCAGTCAGTTTTTTGCACCACTTCTTTTTAAACAGGTTTTTGCCTAATCCTATCAGTTTTACTTCTTTCTTGTGTCTTCTCTACGCAATCATTTTTTTCCCCATTTTGCATTTAAATCAGGCAATGTACTTCTGCAGATTTACTCAGTGGGCCTAAGAAGCCATAACTTCTCTCCCCTTGCTGAATGAACCAACTGGGAAAATCCTTTTATTCCCCAAACCAAATTTCTGCTAAAGAGGAAATACTTGTTCAAAATAATTAAGAACATTATTACACAGCAGTTTTATGACCTAACGATGAATATCTTGGTAGGGTATAGCTTTTTGGTTCCTTTGTTGATGGGTTTTGGTCTGAGACTTGGTTCTTGTTTTGCTTGAGTCACCACAAGAGTGTCATCTTGGCAGACTGCTCATAAGGCTTGTGCTTCTTGTCTTTGTAAAATTTCCTGAGTTCTCCTTCTGGTACTGACTGATAACAGTCACAGCTCTGTCAAGGTATTTTGAGACCACATGTATCTTTGCCAAGTTTGAAATCATTTACCCCCAGGAATCCCACCATGAGCCTCTGGCTCGAGTTCCAGCTTCTGGCCATCCAAATGCACCAGCGGCTCCTTTTCATCCTTCCCTTGAAGAAGTCAGGCTCTCAATCTTTGCCATGATGGTGGCAGCAGCAATGCTCTGAGCACAAGAGGCAGACACCAAGCAAGAAGGTCCACTGCAAATCTGGGTTCACCCTCTCAAGCCCAGGCTGTTACCCTGTGAGATCAGCTTGCTGCCCTAACAGAGGAAGAGACAGTGGCCACATAAACATAGGCGTTTTAGAGTGCTGTGTAATGTGAGGGTAAGAAGAGACCTTTGACTTAATTAAATGTGTTTTATCCAACCATATTCTCATGGGTAGCTGAAGTATTTCCATGGTATGTTCTACACATGCACACACAGCACCTGTCTGTCACTGACATCGAGTCTAGCAAAATTTTCCTAGCAACAGTTTTATCTGATGGGCATTTGACAACTCCAGTCATTGCATCAATAGTAAAATCAACTGCCAATTTTTCCTTTGCTTAACTACACAGCAGACAGTTGCAGTGAAAAGGATATTAATACACATCTAACAGCTCTGCACACCTAATTAAATATTAAAAAAATCATCTGATTAGTCAAAGGTAAAATGATAATAACAAAGAGGAATATTTTCTGCATTGTTCTGCAGGCTGTGCATGCATTAGGCCTCCTTCATAATGAGTTATTTAGGTTCAGTGTTATAAACATTGATGTTTCCTTCACCAGCTGCACCCCTAGAAGAGACCAGGCTCTCCTGCTTTCTCTTCAGGTCTTCCCCATGCGTGCAAAGGGATGAGTGAAGCCATGGGAAGGAAGCAATGATACGCAAGGAGATTTAGGGTCACAATTGTGTCTGAGTGAATGAATGTCATCTTTTTCCTGTTCTGGGGAGCTTCCCAGAACAGAAAGATGCTCTATAACTCCAGAATGGACTTCTCAGCTAAGAGAGCATCTAAACTTGGCTCTGCTGAGAGGAGTGACACATACCACAGACTGCCAAAACTCCCACAGAAAATTCTCTCTCCACTGTAGAGACAGTTTGCTGTCCAAACATTTTTCAGCTGAGGAAAAAAAAGGTTTAGTGTTTTTCTCCTTTTGTTTTTTTTAGGGGGGAGTGAGATATGTAGTGAAAGTGACTGATGTTACAGAACTAATATCCGTCTCACCGTGCTTTTAATCTAATGAAAACTAAATCAACTTTTAATCTTTGCACTATCTTACAGTTCAGATTTGCTAAAGGTCATGAACTATGAACAGCTAAAAAGCTTTGCAGCAAGTGAAACTATCATCACAGATATTTCACAATAAGATGGAGGATTTTCTTCTTTCTTTTTTTTTCCTCTTTCTCCAGGTTACTAGAAAATATAAAACTGGTAAGAGAAACATAAAAAGGGCAGCCAGGACATTCTGTTCACTTGTCCTTTAATCTTTCTGCTGAAATGCTAGTTTGATAATTGATATCAAATAATTTCATAATTCTATCTGAAATTCTGTATATATTAATTCAATTAATCTAGTCCATAGGAAAATATAGTGCCGTACTTGATAATCTCTAAGGTAATGAGCCATTTTATCATCGTCATTTTTTCAAGAATTCTATCCTTGGCTTGGGGAGCAAGTTAAAAACACTGAGAAAAAGTAAAGTCCTACCTAGAGAAAATTAATTCTACATAAAAAAAACTGAACAAGTAAAATTTGTTTATTAATACAATCGCAGAAACACTGAATTATCATTTCCAACGTGAAACTATGGAGTCCTAGTATGGTGTGGAGATACATAATTGCAGTAGTTTAAGAATGCTTTTGGCCTCAGTCCCACATCACCTTTCTCAAAATAAGTCTTTGCTTGCAAAGAAGACCTGTAGAAATTGTACCCACCACATTTTATAGGATTAGCAGCTTGCCTAAATTATCTTTAACAGATTCCAGTTACTAGAGAATATTAAAAAGACATAACAAAAACCAGATAATGCAAAATCAAGATTGAATATATGTCTTTATTCTCTTTTGCATTGCATTCCTATCTTTAATTACAATGGCGCACAACCATATATCTGTTGCACCCTCTTGCAATTAGCTGCACATGGGTAATCTGCATACTTTAGCATGCATATGCCTTTGTATATGCCATGCTAGACCACAAAAGTTATTTATATGATATGTAAATATAAATTGCATTTACACAATATGCTACAAATTAAGGACAACAATGACAAAAGTTGTAAATATCTACTAGCATGTTAGGTCAACCAAATAGTCAGCCAAGAGTTGTCTAGATGGAAAGTTATATGTTTTTATTTAAGGTTTGCATTTCATTTAAACTGATAAAAAAAAAGTTATATAAAATCTCATTTCAGTTTACATAAGGCTTATCTCTTTGTTTTACATTATTTAGAAATAAACCTAAAGAGAATTTGATCTTAAGGTAAAGAGAATTTACCTCTTACCTTACCTCTACTTTATTTTAGACAATGAGTTCTGTATATGAACTTTATAGCCACAGCCTTCATTATACAAAATACCCATGAAAAGTCTTTCCTGTATAGTGTGCTATACATTCATGAATAAAGTCAGAAGAAATCCATGCATTTTACAGTTACTGTCCGGTAAAGGCAGTGAGGAATGCAAAAAGGTGCACAAGAAGCAGAGATATTAAGGAATTAATTTGACTTTAAAATTACAGCACAGTTTGCAATTAAAATTACTTTTTTGTAACAGGGATACAAGTTCAAACAGTTTCTTTCATTTTTTTTCTTCTGAAATATGTGGTGTCTAAAGAGCATCAGATGACGATATGCTATGCGCTACATAATCCACTGTATCATTTTCAGCAACCTCAGATTTAAGTGTATTGAAACAATAAATTTTGAAATAAAATATTTTTCAATGCACTCAACTAACAAGAAAATAACTGAGTTTAAATAAATAAGGAACAGTTCTTTACCATTTTCAATATCCACAGCTATTTACATTTTAAAATTAATAAACACATACAAACACCTAAACACAAACATGTGAAGCATGACATAAAAATTCAAAAGGATGCTCTACACACTTCTATCTACATACAAAAAGGGGGAGAAATGCTGTGCAAAGTTAAAATCTTCAACTAGTTAAATATTTTTAAGATGTTAACTTAGTTAAGTCTTAGCTTCTTAATTTGTTTTCCTTGATATCCTAAATCCTATAATAAAGGCTTCACTAAATTTATTTAACTTTTTGAAAACCCCAGCTTCCATGTGAGAAGAGACTTCCTCAGCAAAGTAGAAAAATTATAATACGATGAACCAATATAGAAACTCTTGTAAATATTCTGATTTATCCCTCTGTTAAGCCTGCAAATACACTGCTTAAAGCCTTCCCCTTCCAGCCCTGATTCTCCTAGGAAAATGTAAATTCAAGTATGTGGCTAGCACAATCAGATGTTAGGTCTCCTAAGGGCCATTCTCACCTGCCAAGTGTTCGGCATTTTCTTAGAGAGAAACTTCTATGAAGCAAGTAAAAGGAAAAAAAAATAAAAAATTATTCCCAGAGTAAATCTATTTGCCTATTCATGCTCCCTATTTCTCAAGACATTTCCTAAGGAGTTATTCCAGGCTTCCTGCACATCCAGTCCGAGAGCTTTGCAGCTCTGGGTTTGAGGCACCTGACTCAGTAAGAAACAAAGTGAATGTGATGAGCTGAAAATTAAAGCTTTACTCCAGATCCACTGCTGAGGAGCCCTCGGTCTCACCTGATCTCAAAAGGCACACTCCTGTGAGAATCAAGGGAATGCTCAAATATTTAAAACATCTTTCCAGCTTCAGGTCTGTGGTGTCAGACTTGGCTGAGGTTGGTGGGTTCTCACTCAGACACAGATCTGAATGCAGAAGAGGTTCAGCGTTAATAGCACTGAATACTCAAGCTTCCCATTGCTGATTTCTGAGATATGAAGTGGGTATCTAAATAAGGATAGCTTATAAATCTCAGGTGGTATCTACAAAACAGACAAATAAAGGCATCTTAATTGCAATGGAATTCAAGTGCAATGACCTCAGTTTTAAAAGTTGAGAGAATTATATCTAAAGAAGTTATAAAAACCTGTGGTTATATGAATAAGTTCAGATTTCTTTCTTGTCAGATCTAAACACTGGAATGGGATCATCAAAGGAAACATGACTGAAATCACCAGCAGCATTCTTTCCTTACATTTGAGAAAAACCAAACACGAGCTGTACAAGTTAGGGCCTGGTGTTGCCTAATGGACACAATGAAACAATTTTTCTTAGTGGTCATAAAAATGTCCCAATGCACAGATGTCAAGTCTAGTGCCCTGGTAAAATTCAAATTTGGAAAACTGCAGTGTTATGTTTTCCTAAAACTTTGTTTCCTTCACAGTAGTACTGTTTATTACTGTTTATGATGCTGTATGGTGTCATTTCACGTCCTTTAACATTTTTTAGCAGTACCTTCACTTTAATAATGTACAGATTACTTGCAAAAATATTTATAAATCTTAATGTTATACCAACATAGCTTTTTCTGAACTCCTGTATCCAGAGTCTGCTTTCCACAGTACCAAAACCTATAACAAAAAAAATCCAGACTCGGATGTTTCCTCTCTTGGAAAGGGTTTCGGGCTGCAGTCATTCTTCTCCCAAAAGTTCCTCGCTCAAGCCCTGGGGAATCTGTACATCAAAATCCAGCACAGGGTTGGAACTAGAATTCTTGTGGTCCTAGTTTGGACTAGTTGGAATTAGAACTCGTGGTCTAGTTGGAACTAGAATTATCTCATGGTCCTAGCTGGCGATAAGCACTATATACAGGGTAATCTCTACCATGAGATGTAGGGTTTGGGACAGGCCAGAAGTTACAGGCTCCATGTTCTTTATTTTTACTTTTGACAGTAATGGCACAAGTGCAGAAATTTCTGTTGCAAAGTAAACAAATTTTATCAGCACGGTTTTAAAGGACACAGTCTCAGAAATGTTTTGTGGCACAGGCAGTCAATCAGCCTGTGCTGCTGGTTTCAGTGTGACTGCCACCCGCAGGGGTGCTCTGCTGCTGCACTACTGGGAGAGGAAGAACAAATAAGAAGGTTGCACAGCCAAGCTGCTTCTGCCAGAACCAAAGCCAACCACTCACTTTGATAAGCATTCACTCATGACTTTAGTGTTTGCATTGTATTTTCATTCTGCTGCACTGTTGAGGGATAATTGTGTTTGTATTTGTCCTAATGATGTGATTATGCATTGTGTTTGCCCTATCCATGTGATGTCAAAGGAACTAATGGCATCCCCTCAAGATTAACAAAGCAGTAAGCAAATCTCAAACCAAAGTAGGCAGTTCTCTGGGGATAAATATATCCAAAAGAGATGGGGAGAAAAACCCAAAAGGCCTGGCATCCTGCTTTACCTAGTGGAAGTAATTGAATTTTATGCATGTAGGGTCTGGTGAAGAGCGTTTTGAGGGTAGAGGGGTTCCCATCTTATGTAAATACTTAAAAATTAGTTTACATATTTATTTAGATAATAAAATAGTCATGCTTTGATGCACCAAAAATCTGTAATTTTAATAAAATTAATCCATTATCTCTAGATATATTTGCAAATTCTGAAAGTTTATTATGGATCTTGATTTGAAAAAGCACTTCTTAAAGAACAGCAGTCTTCCTTAGCTTGGGAAACTTAAATTCAAATCTAAATATGCACAAAGCTGACTAAGTAACATTGACCAGGCTCTCGTCTTTCTTTCCCATATCAAATGAACTGGACTCTGTATTTTTATAATAAAGGATAACAGGAGTGCCTATTAAAAGGATTTTCATTGCCTTGCCTTCACATCAAGGCAGTACAGCATAAATGAACAGCTTCACAATTGAAGGGCTTGGGTTTTTTAAATTAGTGGCTATTCTATTTTTTTATTTTTTCAAGTGAACGGAAATTGACCTTCATTGTCTCTTTAGTCATTCCAGCTCAGAATCAAAGACCAAGTTAATTATAACCATTTAAAACTTAACAGTTGAAGCCTTTTGATGTAATATCACATTCATTTCTAATTAACTGTACATATGTCTTGCTGAGTTATCCAATAACTCTTGAGATCTGTCAGCATAAAACCTTAATAAAAGCACGAACACTTCAGGATGAAGATCAGACAATCCTTACATAAGAAGAAACAGAAGGTGACAGGGAACAAGAGTGCCTGTAGAAAGAAATCTCTGCCTTAACACTTTTCCGTACTGTTCTTTAAAATATGGCTGCTCCTGCTGCTGCATACCAGCTCACTGCCCTGAGAGTCTAGGTTGTCACTTTCAGTTTTAGAAAAACCAAAATACAAGTTAAAAAAAAAAAAAATAATTTGATCAAGCATAAACATTTTTTTTTTTCTGTAGCTATTTATGGCTGTGTCCTAAACTTGGCCCTTCAAAAACAGTGAAAGCCATCACAAAAACTCAGTGGAGGAAGCTAAAGGCAAGAAGATGCTGTCCCTCTCCCAATGAAACTCTTCTCTCTACTGACCAGATTTGCTGGGTGTGGTGTTTGAGCTGGGCTGTGGGCTTGGCAATCAAGATCCAGCAATGTGCTGGGCCTGTCTGGGATCTTAGTTTTGTTTCTCTGAAAATGAAACTACTAATTCATAAAGATTAGCATTATCATCATTATCCTTAACACCCTTCTCCCAAAAATAAGTCAGCTTGAAAAAAAGACTTCACACTGTGGTCCCAAATATGACTTTTGTTCCATATAACATTTAAATTGGAAATGATCTAAAGAGGACTCGAGAAAAAATCCAAAGTCAAGGTGTGCTTTATTCAAAGCTGCATCTATCACCCAAGGGATAGATATGTCTTATCATGGTGTGAGAAGGATAGGAGCAGGTTGATCATCCACTCTGCTACTTCCCTTCAGCTTTTATCTCTGTGTGAGGTAGGACAATACTGAACTAAGTGATATCCCCAGGGCTCTGTTCGCCCCATTGAGCCCAGCTGCCTACAGCCAAGGAATATAAAATGGAGAGCAATCTCTGTGCTCCAAGTAGTGACACTTTGGGGGCGGAGGCTGTCTACAGCAGTCACCATAAGCCAGGGTAAGAGTGATAGTCATGTGGAGGGATACAGAGACCAGAACCAAATGGCTGGAAAGCCCTTGGAAAGAGGAGAGAACATTCTACAAGAGGATGCTGGAAAGACCAAAACATCAAGATCGGAGCAAGAAGCTGTGCTTGTTTTTCTTGATTATATATTGAATGTTGTTTGGAGGTTACTCTGGGAGAAAGGTTTACAACACAGCTCTGAGGAAGATCCAGGACAACTGAAAAAACACTGTGAATCCACATTACTCCAAAGGGTGCTATTTATTATGGGCTACTGCTACCATGGGAAGGATGAAAATCACTACTGGTACTGGATAATTAGAGCAGTCAGGAAAAGAAGCAAGGAGCAGTAGTAGGCACCATTGGAGGAAGTCCATATATTACATTTTCATGGATGAAAGAGTGACACATCTTAAGTCAAGCTACTGCACATTCTGCTCTGCTCATTTCCATTGAAATCAGTGAGCAAAGAAAAGTCAATCATGCTCAAAGTATGTTTTCCATCATTTTCCCAAGAAATAATTTTACTTTATTTTATTTATTGATAATCCATTGTACTTAGTAGATAGGTGCATTATTTAGTTTTCAATTCACTTGGGTTTTTTAGTCCCACTGAAAACTGGTAAGCAGAAAGGTTATTGCTGCCAAGGTCTGGGAAGAATCAGACAGAAGGACTTCTGTTGCATAATTCTGTATCCAGTTAGACTTAAAATAAAATCATATAACTGACCGCAAAAATTAGTTTTGTCCTCATAAAATCTTTCCAAAAAATACTGAGAGGAAATTATGTCACTGAGAATATTTTGTATTCAAATGTTTTTGTTTAGCTTCTTGTCAAAGCCAACTAGCTGTCATGAAAGTGCTTTCATATTTACAATGTTTCTCAGCATGAATGATCCCAAAATGTTTTGGGTTTGGTTTTTTTTTGTTTCTTTTGGTTTATTTGCTTTTTCAAATGAGAAAAAAAATCACCACTGAAATGCAGTCCCTCTGGCCTGGAAGAAGGCAGGCAACTAAACAAAAAGCCATATACCTATAAAATGAACTAAATTATCGCCAGTGCTTTAAAGCAAAACTATGCACCATAAAAGTGTGGCCAGAATGAATTCAATATCCATACAATATTTCTATTTTGAGGGTTTACACCAAAACTAAACTTTATAATAGAAATTCACTTAGGAAACTAGATGCTGTTGGTCAATATGGCTCTGGGATATATGAAACCTAATTTATCAGCCTTTAAGTTCTCATTGCTCTTGCCCTAACCACATGTAAGTTAAGCTTGGGATGAATTCAAATGCAATTGTCCAATTTGAGCTACCTGTAGCGCAAGAAATTAATGTAATTAATTTATCAGCATGCTAGCCATTTCCTCAGTGTAGCTATACTCAGTGTCTGGTAAATGGATAGTATAATTTACCTTTCACGGGTCTGAGAAATTAACGGTGGAATCTGCAGGAACTTTAGTTTTTCCCCCCTTTTTCAGCTGTGACAACAGCAGCCAAAATACAATTTATTCATGTATGACCTACAGCTATTCAAAGACTTCTATATTCATTTTTTTCTTGCTTCTAATCTCCACTGGAAATTGTCCTCTTAACATGATCAGAAAAGCAGTCCCTGTTATTTACAGTGTCCAGGTTTAGTCCACTCTGCTTTAAAGAATTGACTGTAGATACAACAATCACTTTTGAAGTGTGTTGGCCAGTTTTCCAAGTAACTTAAAGTTTTTTTCTAACAAATCTTTCCTACATGCCAAGCAGAGGACAGCAGTTTACATGATCATAATCATCATAGAGTCATTAAGGCTGAAGAAACTTTCTGCACAAAAACAAGTTCTAGACAAGAATGCCACAGCTGCTCATTATGAAAACCTGAAAGATCGTGATGACAGAACTGAAAATCCAGAAAATAAACTTGCACTGGAAAGGAGTTATCTGGACAGTCACTTATATTTAATGAATATGAAAACCCCATTTTGTAGGGAAAAAACTAAAAAAAAGAACCTATGCGATGCTCGTTTAACTCCTCATTTTTTTAAGCAAATAAAAGACAAAGCTGGGAAAGGAAGTCTGGGAACCCAACATCTGCTATCACTCCATGCCATGCCATTCTTTTCAGAAATTCGACCTGAAGCAGTTTGGGTTTTGGTCTGTGTTACTTGTCCTAGCAGGCTATTCCAGAGCATCCAGACTCTGACAGTCAGAGACTACATTCTCCATTCCTTGATGAGTTTATCTGTGCTCCTCCACAGAATCTAGTGCTCAGCTTACACAGTTTTCCCCCTTTTTAATATTTAACAGTCTGTTGTCTTTGCAGGCAACATAATGCTCCCCTCTCACCCTTTTTCTCCCTGAATATAGCAATCATCACTTTTTGCATATTGAGTTACTTCTTCTCCCAGTTTTGACCAATGCAGACACAGCTGTTACCCCAGAAGAGATGACAATCACAACACTTAAGAACTGAGAAGAAAAGAAGTATTTGGTCTCTAAAAACTCTGTGTAGAGTTTTTCAGAACAACCCAAATAGCTAGGATGACATGAAATGGATGCTGTGACCTTCCATGGGTCTGTTAGCCTGGGTGTTGAAAAAGGGTGTTTTAAATATATTTTTCCTCTGTGTTTTCCAATACAGAAATCTCCATCCAAATACTTAGATTAATTTTTACATTATTTCCTTGCCTATATTTTGTCCAACAGTGTTCTCACTCTTGTTCTCCCCCTGTCCTGCTGCTAGCAGCAAATGGCTCTGTAAGCCCTTGGCCCAGTGCTGAGGCCAACTCTACACATATGAACAGTGTGCACTTCTGAGGTAAAACAAATTTCTCCAGTTGTCTTTCAAGAACTTCATTTGAAAACATAAACTTTTCAGGTTTACCTTCTTATTTGTGTTTGCCTGTAAGGAGCCTGAAGGAAGGAGTTTCTGCCCTCTACAGAAATAAAATGAAAGGATGTCCAGGAACCAGGATTTACTGAATACTCTCTGTTTTGGGCACTGAACACTGCCCCACTGGCAAGGGAGCCTCCTTATCCAGGTAACAGAAAGAAAAGTCTGAAAACAGAAGAATGTAAAGGTAATATTATTTACTCCAACTGTAAGCAGAAATTATCAAGTTTAGTAATACAACTTCAGACTGACTCCCAATGAATCCCATCATCAGATCAAAGACACCACAGATCAACAGGTCTGGTAAAAAAGATGAGAAATGACAAAGCCTGCAATTCTCAGTACTAGAAAGAGGAAGAAAAGGGATGGGGAGAATAGCCTTGAAATTATGATCACATAAACTAGATGTTCTCAAATCTGCTTGAACTTACAGAGTTGCTCCTAAGATGCCAGCATATCAGCAGTTATTCCTGAGAACTCCTGGAGGAAAGGGGAGGCATCAGAAGCCTAAGAATGAGAAACAGTGCCACTCTTTAAAAGGAGATAAAGATTTGAGTTGACAGAACTTCAGTTCTGTTTCAGATACCAAAAAAAAAAAAAAAATTACCTAGAAGAAAAAGAGGAGACTGGGAATTTTTCAAGAATGCATTGCTTCAAACAATTCTATCTCTCTTCTAGGGCAATGTAATAACTGACTTTAGCAAAGAGTCTATTTCCTACTTGTTCCTACCATACAAATTCTAAAGTTCTGTAAGGGTCTTCCCTGGATGCAATATGTTCAGTATTCATATTAGCCACCTCAGGGATACAATACAGTGTACACTTAATACAAACATGGGCAATTAAACTGGAAGGGACTGAAATCATGTTAGATCAAAAAAATGATTTTGTTCAGGAAAAGTAAAGTGCTATTCAGGTATGAAAAAAATTATAAAAATAATTTATTTGAAGCAGAATTATAAGCTGATGAAAATATTGCAGTTCTGCTGAAACTGATTGGAAAGTTAAAAAAGATAATAACTTCATCCTGTTGCTATAACAAATAAATAAAAAAAAGGTAAACAACGCACTTTTATTTCTAATTTGGATTACAGATTATAAGACTTACAAAGGGTTCTTTGAATCCTTCTGTTCCATCCAACATCAACAGCTTTGCTATAAAATGTATCTCTTGACCAAAATTCAAGGAAGATTTAGAACAACCAGACAAGTGTAGAGCAGAGCAATAAGAACAATGAGAAGCAGAAAACACCCTTGGTTAGGGAAGATAGACAAAATTAGAAAAGAAGGTAAGACATAATAAACCTTTCAAAAGCAAAATAAACTGAAATAAACAGAAAAGGATTAGTTTATTCTCTTATATCAGTTTAGAAGTCCTAATGTATCCCACTTGGCCTCAGTTGCCTGTCCAGGACAGTATCCTGTAGGATTTGTTCCACATGGGCCAAGCCTTCAAGAGTGCCATCGGGCATTTGAAATGTCATTGGGACCTCTGACAGCGATCTCCTCTTCTGAGAGAAGTTGACTGCCATAGAGATTATGCTGTGGGAAATAGACCTCAAGGCAAAGTAAATACTGAGCAGTGTGCCTTCTACCTATATCCCACTACTCCCAAAAGTCTTAAATCTGAAATAAATCAGATGACTTGCACTCTAAGTATTTACTTGGCTCCATTCTGAACAAGGGGTGAGAAAATAAGGCAGGTGCAGATATGGGTACTGTAAAAATAAGCAGTAATATGAAATTAATTTCCCCCATAGTAAAAATATTAACTCCTAGGTCATCCAATCTTTTCACTCCATCACAAGTAATTGTTTTGATGCAAGAAATACAGACTGAAGTATTATGAGCCATGCTAAAAAGGTCAGATAGTAAATCCTTTGATTATTCTTTTAACCTATTCTGTATGAGAAACCTCTACTCTTCTGTACAGTGTTCCACTAAACTTCCTGAACTCCGGTAAGAATCACCATTACACACAACAGAAGTCATAAATCATAAAAACAGCATGACTGCTCTGAAGGTAATATCATTCCTCAAAACAAAAGGAAAGGAAATTTTAGCTGTTATGCATTCAACAGAGAAGTCAGTAAGTGCATGGTAATATGGTTGTGCTTGGCATTTTATCTCTATATTCTGTTTTAAACTTCATTGTCAGATGCCATTAAGAAGATCAAATGAAGACCATATTTTGGCCTCAGTAAAAGACAAAATGTTTTCCATCTCTTAAAACAGACAAACTCATTCATGGTAATTGGCCATCCACTTAGCAAGATGTAACCCAAAACATTCCAAATTGGTATCTTTTAGTATCATCTGTGTTTTGAAGGAGGGAAGAAAATATCAAAAGGAAAACAAATGATTCCTTCTCTGCAGAAATTAATTTTCAGCTTTCTCATCCTGCCTATTTACTCTGTGTCAAATAGTGCATAAACAAAAGAATGGTGAGACCATTGGGGTGACTTTTTTCTCATCATCTGGCAATTTAATAAAATAGAACCCAGTACACCTGGCAACTGCAAACTGCTACTGGCAATAACTTCTTCAAAGAAGTTCTCAAAGTAGTCTATATAAAAAACAAATTTTCCATGACTCCAATTTACTTACCAGGAATGTGGTCATATTTTCCAGAAAATTTTGCACTCCTTTAGTAGCATGGTGAAAAGCACGTCTAGGATGAAATGCATGACAGACTTGTCCTGGATATATGTGTGTAACCTATCAGCTGACTTGTGTGATTCTTTGTGAAGTCTTTGACAGACTCACTTAAAAAGTGCTGTTCAGCTTCACCTTCAGTTTCTTGCATGCTAAATGGTGAACTTTACAGTATTTTTTATGATCTTTGTGGCATGAATACAAGCAAAGGATGCAATCAAAGAAATTAAGTGAAACTGGATGGATTAGGCTTGAAGTAAAAAGATCTGTTAGACTTTTGGACCCCAGCCTTTATTTTGCTTCAGCAACATCCTATAGGCAGTGTGACATTTGTGGGACAACTTGTCTAACACAGAAAGCAGCTGAAAATTTTTTTTTTTCACCAGTGTTTACAAAGCTTACATTGTATGTAGGGAAAATTAATGAAGAAATAACTGCATAATACTTTCTGTTCTTCATTTACCTCTTGGATATCTACAGATCTGAGCACAGCTACAAAGCAGTTAGGTTTTTTGCAATACCTGTTCCACAAAGCTCAGCATGCAACTTTATAATAGCCAATGGTCACTGAAACAAAAGTGATTTCACTCATAGGGATTCTCCCACACCCCCGTTCTCATGTTCAAACAGTCTGGCTAGGGACACTTCAGTGACAAGACAAGGGACACTGGCTATTCATGATGTCACCTGTCTTAGAGTGACAAGCCTGTGCTGGTTCCCTGATTTGCCTTTTGTGCCTGCTAGAGCTTGACTGGAATGCTGGTATTTTGCCTTTTCCATCAAGTAGCACTCCTGTAAGTCATCAGGTAACACTGATGATTTTCTCATTATTCGCTGGATTCCATTTCCCCATGTAGCCTGTCCTTTATCTTAGCCTGCCTTTCAATTTCCTTTTTGTGATGTCTTGAGAGTATGCAAGTAAATGTATTTACCAGCCGCTAATCTGGCTGCCATCAACATGTGCCATTCTCTTATTCCTGCTTCTTGATTTTTGTTATGTTTTGGGGTTTTTTTAATTAATTTTACTGGTACTTTTATATATAGACACTCTTGTTCATGTCATTCTTAACATTTCTGTTGTGAATGTCTACATTCTTAATGCTGAAACCCAGTAGAGAATGGTAAACATCAGTTATCTTATAAGCCTCTTCCCTGTTTATTCTTTAAAACAATAGACCAAAATCCTTTCCTTACCTGAATGCATAACACAAAGAGCAAAGCACAGCTTAAAAAGAAATTCACAAAAGACATGAATGAAAGGATCAAAATGAAAGCTAAAATGCAGCTCCATTTCATATATGGAAATTATTTTGGCAAGAAGAAAACATAGAGGTGGTAATTCTGAATTTTTCAGGACAATCACTAATTGAAGGGCAATTAAAAATCTAGTATAAAGGAAAGCACTTTAAGAATTCAGGCTACTTTGTCTAATTTTAGTACCTTTTACACTGCCACAAGAAACATAATGAGCACAGAGTTTTAAAAGATGTTTTCTTCCTCCCGTGGCTGGCAATTCACTGCAACTCACAACTGCCCAAGGGCATCATGACACAAGTGCCGCTACCCCTGCACATCAGAACAATAGCCATTTTCAAAGGCAACAAAAGAATGATGGGCAAGTGGTTTAGTATGAACTAACAAATCTTAAAAGGCTTTTGCCCTGTCCTCCACTTGCCCTTTTGGAAAGCAGCTTTTTTGTTATCATTATAGCTTAGTTACAGTGCATATACCATTTCAGTGTCTAGAAACCTTCAGAGATATTCACATCCTGTCATTTAAGGGAAAGAATGAAGTTTTTCAGAGCACAGCTATTTTTCAAGCAGTGTCATATTTGAGATAAAAATGCCATCTACTTTTTAAACCTAAAGGTGGGGGTTCCAAAACAGCTCATAGTATCACTGCTCCTTCTTTCTATTAAAATGCTGCAACAGGACTGGAGAAAGCACTACATATTGGAGCAATGTAGGGAGAAATCATGGCAATTCTGGGAAAGTAATAGAAAAGTTTTGGTGGGTTAGGGTGTTCTTAATTTTAAAAAAAGCTACCAGGGAGCTTTGTTTTAAGTGCTTGTATCCCAGCAGAGAGGACAAGGGAGGTTATGATGGACAGAAGCCTATCTCCTCTTGACATGAAGGACAAAAATGAAGCCCCAGCAAGCTCAATACCACTGCAAGCAGCTGTATCCACCATAGCCTGAAGTCCTAAGAAAACAAGACCTGACTGCCCAAACAGCCTCTAAGACCCCAAACCCAGGAAACATGGTGTAGCTCACAATATTTGGTGCTGCTCTATACTTAACTTGTTCATTACTATAGAAGATTCAGGTACTCACCATCATTTTTGTACTAAGAATGCACTGATAGAAGGCATAGAGGTTACTCTTTGTAGAAAATTATGAGCAAAAAAAAGTCTAGAGGAAATGAAAACATTAAGAAATTCTCTCATTTAATAAAAAAAAAATGTTGAGGAATAAAAGGTTAGAATCACAATTTAAGTTTCTGGCGTTATCTAAAAGAGATATTATCTAAAATTTCTCCAAATACTAAAATCTGAAATAGGAACAGGTACAGAGTCTTCAAAGGCACATTCTTTGTATCCCTTTATTCCTCACATAGATGGGTATCTCTGGTTACTTGAAATGACAGCTGGCAGTCATGTGGAAGGAAGGAGTTTCTTTTTTCACTATTACCTCATTGTATATACAAAAACGTTCTTCTGAGAGATGATGTGATTTGACAAGAAGTGAGGCAACGGTAAAAAGATTTTTTAAAGGTTTCTTTCAGCTTGGGTGATTCCTGTCAACTTACAAGACTGCCACAGAGCAAAATGTTTTGTGAATAATTAGCAGGTTAATTACCCATAAGCAGTGAGTAATTTGTATTACCTATGTGGTTAGCTCACCACACTCAGACCCATGCTGATTGCACATGTCTGTGTTGCACTACAAATTAAAGGATCAACCCTGCAAGGCACTGTCTGTCCTTGAGTCCTATTGTTCCAACAGTGTGCAACACCTAATCCAAAAGAGATTCCTAAGGGATGACAAATGGGTGGTGGAATGGGTGGGATGCCCTAGGACAATGTACTTTTGAAAATAACAGTCAAGAAAAGCAAGGGAAGAGGCAAGTTTAAGTGAATGAGCCCTACCACAGCAAAAGTAAATACTTGTTCTTCTGGTTATAATAATTTTTATTTATTGTCTAATCAGTATTCACAAAATCACAGGAATCATCTGTTGTAGGAAATGAGACAAACATTACTGCTGGAGCGGCCTCAGCTGCTGCCCATATGCATGCCAACACCCCTCGCCTGCACCCACCCCATCCTGGGGCTTCAGGAAAATGAGAAGTTTCTCATTTTGCCCAGAAACACATTCACAGAGTTTCTCTGAACTTTCTTTAGTTCACGTCTGTTGTCTTCAGGCATACAGACATTTAACACATGCAATTTGTAGGTCAACAGAGTTGGTTACCCATGGTTAAATAAACCTTATTGATTAAATTTGGAGAAATTTGTGCAATTTTATATATTGACCACAGTGAAACCAAACCTTCCCCTGCCAACACTGCACTGCCAAGTTCCCTGGTGAATCCACAAGGTCATTTTGTGACCTGACTGGAAACAGATGTGTGCCAGGAAGGGAGTGGGTTCACAGCCTGTTCCTGCTGCACTCCACCAGGCCCAGCACCAAGTACAAAGCATTTCATGGCTGGCACTGGATCGGGGGGAGTTTAAGGTACACCGCTACCACCCAGCTGTCTCCTCTCTCACCAGGCTGTGCAGCCCACCTACCATCTCACAAATGAGACACTGCTTTGAATAGATTTCCTTTTAATTTAATAAAGCGTTGAGGTGAGTTACAGGACAACCCGTCTCTGAACTTTGCCTCAACTGGAAACTGTAATGGTAAAAAAGAAAATTATCAATCAACAACAGTGACTCAGAAGCAAGTTCCCAATTTTGGTATCCAAAAGCCATTAAGTAAGCATCAGTATGCCAAGTATCCTAGGCTGCCAAGGGAAGTATGTGTGAATGAGGCAGGAGGATGAAAAAGTATCCTGAACAATGTAGAAATTTTACACTACAGTCCAAAAGAAACATGTCTGAATGAATAATCATGTCTTATTTAGTATGAAAGAACAGAGTCTGTTTTACCGTAGGCATAAAAGGCTCCTTCCATTTTTTGCATACTGTGCACAAAGCTCTTCCAGTAGAAAGTTTTCCTTTGCTTTTTCACCAAAACACTTAATGGCTTACAAGGGTTTGCTATCCCAAAGGCCTGGAAAATGTTGATAGGCAGAGCTGTGACTCTAGTGTCACAGATCCTACAGCATGAGAATTACCTTGTGCTACTTTCAGGCAAAATCAAAACTGCAAGCTGCAGTATGGTATAAACATGAGCTCAGTCATTAGATTAGTGCTTGTGTAAGACAGTGCTCCAAATAGCAAGGAAACTAATCTCCAGCATGCTGCAGCTCTTTAAAGATGGGCTTTTAACTCCATTTCTGAAACAATAAGCTTTTGTGGGTTCGAACAAGAATTGTAAATGTTATTTGAGTCATTATCAGAAATTAATTGGTGAATTCTCCTTAATTACAAATCCTCAATATGTGGTCGGTTGCATAGATGCACCTCCCTCTACTCAAAAGCTGTGGGCAGAAGTTTTTCGCTGGTGCTTATGTTTCTTAAAACTGTGATTTTAACCACAGGAATAGCGTTAGCACCACCTAGAGGCACACTTAAAAACCACGCTTACGTTTTATCCAGGAAGACTGATTTGAAAATGTCTCTGTTACCCAGAAAGACCTTAGTTTGAAATTGTCTTTATGTCATATCTTTTTAGTTTTAGGAGGCTCTCTTGGGTCAGTTGTTATGAAGGCTAGTTCATATATAAAATTGTACTTCAACATCTTCACCAAATATGATACTTTAAATCACAAAAAAAAGAGGAATGTTTGTTTTGCTTTAATCTTCTGCCTTGAAAGACAGAAACCTAGAAGGAAAATTAATTCAGATTTATTTTCATATAATTTGAATGGAAAAAATCTCCACAGGAAAAAAAAAAACCAAAACCAAAAAACAAAAACAAAACCAAAAACAAAAACAAAAAAAAACCCAAAGAGCCAAAACCCACAAATGGTTCTGTTTTAGATCATTGCTAAATTAACAAACTGTACTAAAACTACAGCTTTAGTATACCTGCTTTTGAACAAAGCTGATCAGATCTGTTTTTTAAGTAAGCTTAGTCCCCTGAGATTATTGCAATGTATAGCTACCTTCAGCATCTTCTTAAGGCTCAGATATACTTTGCCTGCTATCTTCTTCTTGGTCCATATCATGTCAGTGACTTGAAGGCTTCAGGGACACCAGAGTGTCCCTGGTACAGACTTTGTGATTCTGACTGAGGCTCACAAAAACAGCCTGGGAAAGATGTATGCCAATTTTTCTTGTCAACTTCATTCTCCTCTTGAAATAGCATTAACAGAACAGAATTAATTAATATGGGACTTTTTGGTCAGTTTGAGTAATGATGTCACACTGATGATACTTTTAAACAACAGATTTTTTTTCTAAAATAGATAAGGACTCTGTGTGTTCTTAGGTGAAAAGATAGTAGCCAAAGCACTCAGTGCTTCGACACTATCATTCTCAATCAGAGCACTAAATCAAAGTGGAAGTAATCATCTAGAATTGGGTTACAATGTCAGGAAGACTGAAAGCACAGGCTAGTAATTTAACTTCCACATTGGAAAGGTGAGAATTAGTTTACTTTTTGTCTTCTAAGGCAAGAGATAGAAATGAAAAATTGAATGCAATTGTATGGACAGATAACTGGATTGAATGGTGCTTTTTATTTTGGTTTGGGGTTTGGTTTGTTTGGGTTTTTTGGTTTTTTTTTAAAGAAACTAAACTGTACAAACCTAAACCTGTTCTTTTGACTCAAAAGACTGAAAACAGAATACCAGATCTCAAATATGAGGCCCAAGTTGTTAGATTAGCAATGTGCTAATTCTGGGCATTTGTATTACTAGCTCAGCAAATCTACTGGCAGGAAAGGCAATATGAGGTTTTGAAAGTTGTGCTAAGCTTTCTGACAAGTGCAGAGCAAGAATGAAAGTACATAATTAGCTCAATTTTTAAAATTTATTAGTATTAATTAAAATGTTACATTACTTTGGTTATTTCAAATAATTGCTAGTAATGAAGAGTTAGTAAAAATCTGTCTTTTGTTCCTTCTTCCATACAGATTAACCTTCACCAAACTAATTACTCTGAATCTCTGTTCCTCTGAGTTGGTGTTGACTGTTTTCCTGTGCAAAGATTAAGCTCCTACATGCTGAAATGTGGCATTTTGGAATTTGTAAAAGACTGTTACCATACACCTTAAAATATATTGGTTTCTCTTAGTCACATTTCTATCAGATTTACTGATATATTACACCTGCTTGATTGTCTTGTAAAATGTAGTATGTCAGAGCCCAGGCACAGAAGACAATTATTAATTGCATAGGCAGGATTAATCTTCACAGTTTCAAAGCCCAGTACTTAAAGCCTTGCCTTAAAGCCAGACCACTGGGACAAAAAGTACTTGCTTTGGTCTAAAGACTTGTGTTGTTAACCTGTCAGTCAAAAGACTGTTGCTCTTATTTTTTCTGCAGAAAAATGTAGTGTTTCCACTTACAGGACATCCCATGTACTGTCTAATTTATTAATGTATTGTAGGTTACTTTGTATTCTATGAGATCTGTCTTATTGATCTGCCAAATCTCTTCCGAGTTTGGTGTTCTCCTCTTACAAGATTGTAATATCATCTTTTTATCATAACTTCTCACAGTGTTCTTTCATTTTAGTTTTTCTAGGTTCTCTTTGTTGGTTACAGTAAAATATAGGAGCATGCCATACACATGTAAGCTGCAAGTCAACAGAGCAGAAATGTTTTACTAATATTTTATAGATACATTTGAAAAATCTGCTGTGATTCTATTTTCTTTTTGCATAAATTGTCTGAGTAATCAGTCTGTCACATCCTAAAGCAAGAAAACAGTTCCAAATATTGTGACAAGTTTCATAAATATTTTTATTTACCCTAAGACAGCAAAAAAGTTTTTGTCTTTGGGTTTTGGTGTTGGGTTTCTTTTCATTGTTGCTGGTCTTCCTTGGTTTTTTTTGTCACTCGGCTACTTCTGACCTTAATTTTTGAATTCATCTTAGCTTAACAGGTAAATATTTTATATGTTATGTTTGGTAATTCAGTGGCAGAATTCAGAAACAGATACAAAAAGTTTAAAATAAATTGAAAATAATTTTTTACTTACTAAAAAATAAGATTTGGGGAGAGGAAAAAGAATGCATTTGCATGTTTACACTATGTAATAGAAGCCCTTCTCATTTTGGCAGAGTACAATTGTCATACGTTCACCTT